GCAAGACATACTTCAATATAAAGTTCTGCAAGACATATTTCTATATAAAGTTCTGTAAGACATATTTCTATATAAAGTTCTGTAAGACATATTTCTATATAAAGTTTTGTAAGGCATACTTCTATATAAAGTTCTGTAAGACATTTCTATATAAAGTTCTGTAAGACATATTTCTATATAAAGTTCTGTAAGACATACTTCAATATAAAGTTCTGTAAGACATATTTTTATATAACTAAAACAGATGTTTAATTTGATTGTGAGGAAAACTTGGAAATCTCAAAATCAGATAAATAAAAAAACTCTTATTTTTACCAACCTTTTTTACTTAAACTGAAATACTATTAATAATTAGTGTCTTTTGTAAAGAACCAGAAATAGTCTGGTTATACTGATTAAATCGTATTTAGTATTTCTGTATCAATTACAACAAAAAATCTTCTTCGGGAATTAAAACTTTATTTTTTCTCTCACATACTTCAAGTTCACATTTTTACTTCACTGCGATTCCAAATGAATGGTATTTTGGTAAGCACAAGGAACATAAAAAAAAAACCAAAATAACTCTCTCTTTTGGTGTCATTTTTCATTATACAAAATACTTTTGATATCAGAATCTCAAAAACCAAGTTTAGTTGTTCAAGAAAATACTGAAAAAATTCCAAAGGGAGAAACCTGAGAACAGTGAAAGAACACGAGTTTGAATTTTCTTCAAATCCTGTTACCCAGTCATATATGCATGTAAGTATATTCAATGTGTGTTTGTGCATGTCAGAAACAATGTACTTAATGTAAGAATAGCATTACTTACCTCTGTTCTGTGTCTTTTATCGCAAAAGTTATATGACTTAAGATTAAATTTCACAAAAAGTCTCGCAAGTTTATAGCAGTAGCCATGGAACTACATCAAAGGTTAAAAACACATAATATACAATAATAACAAATTTAGCAATGATACAGTACCGATGAAAGTTGCAAAACAAGATAAAGAACCTCATAAGTGTACAAGTTTGTATAAAAACAATGTTATATACAATACAGATGACACCTTACATATGTTATTAAACAGCCTATATTCATTTCCCCTGAACATCTGGCCTCTTCTGTGTACACATAGAAACTGTTTCTTATAAATATAGGTGAATTTCTACTATATTATTTGATCTAAAAATTTTGTTAAAAGTTTAAAACTTTTTAAAAGGTAATTAAGGTGATGAAATTAATAAAAAACAATCTGAAGACAATTTATTTAGTAATCTTTTTATACAGTCCTTTATTTTACGAACTTAAACAGTGTAATTCTAAAACTAAAGGAATAAAACTTTTTTTTATGGTTGATCATTTGTAACGAAAGGTTTAAGAGATATTCTTTAATTTAAAAAAAAACTTGTTTAAATTCTAGAATATGTCAATGTAAGTACCAATTAAAATCACTATCGAAGTTAGTTTTGAAGAAGAAGTGTTGAAGTTGGTCAATTTTTGTCAGATATGTTGAATTTATTTTCCACTTGTAAATATGCCATTAGGACCCGTTTGCACAGTACATAGAATTTAATAAGGTTCAAATGTCTAATATGATATAGAAATTCTTCTTATACCATTGATCTATTAGGATCACCTCCTATTCTGTCAACTACCTGGAAAAAAAAAATTATAGTTCAATTTCAGTACCACTTTAGTTTCATACGAAGACTGCTTCTAGAACATAAAAAAGATTTTTTCTGATTTTTTATCAAACAAATAACCCTTACATAAGTGAAGTTTCTTTCAACAAAATATTCACAATTTTTAATTTTTCTTTTTTTTTAAATTAAAAAACTGGTTGAGTCTTTAGATTAATCAAAGAAGGTGCTAACCTCTAGAAGACTGCTTCTAGAACATAAAAAATATTTTTTTCTGATTTTTTATCAAACAAATAACCCTTACATAAGTGAAGTTTCTTTCAACAAAATATTCACAATTTTTAATTTTTATTTTTTTTAAATTAAAAAACTGGTTGAGTCTTTAGATTAATCAAAGAAGATGCTAACCTCCTATTATTATGCTTTTTGCTAAAATGATACAGAAATGTGTGTTTGTTTCACCTGTTGCATTTTTTTGTAGTTTTAGAAACATTTGTTACAATTATTTGAAACACTAATAGCGAATATATATATATATATATATACTTACTCCTGAACAAGTTACCAGTCTCAAACTTCAGTAAAGTATGGTTAAAAAGCCATACAAGCAAACTATGATACAATCTTCTACTTTTTACAACAAATCTAAATAAGATGCTTAATTTTTCAAAATTACAAATATATTGGACGTAATCACACAAACCAGTTGTGCCGATTTTAGGTTCTGAATTTTGCTACTGACCTACAAAAATCACTTCACTTCAAAGTCCATATACATGTAGGGATGGATCCAAAATTTTGAGTAGGAGGGGGTCCAAATAAAACAAAAAGTAAATAAAAGAATAAGACGGAAGGCATCTTACTTATAATAAAAAAATTATTATTTTGTTTTTAAGGTTAACTTATTATTACTTGGGTTATTTTTTTTGTTTTTTTATTTATAAAATTTCTTTATCTAGATATTAAAAGAAATTTTAATTATGCTTTGCCCGAGCACGGTGGGGTCCAGACCCCCTGGATCCGAGCCTGACATGAGCAGAGAGTTCAAGCAGTGAAATTAAAAGGCATTATACATTAAATAAAATAATTAATAATATTACATTTGCAGAAATTCCAAAAAAAATTGACTACATGGTTCAACATGTAACATTTTCTAATCGACACATGAGCTGCAAGTTTTTGTGTTGCATGCCATGGGTTCGCTACTTCCGATATAAAATATTAAAAAGGGTTAATCAGATTTTGTAAGAATATTTTTATATGTTAGTACAATGATGTGTTGCCACAGGTGCAAACTGTGGTATCACTCATATGTTTAGCATATAAATGTTTGTGTCATGTTGAAATGACAATAAGTAATGTGTAATGTCACTATGGGTGGAGAGGTGTATATATAATGTGTAATGTCACTATGGATGGGGAGGTGTATATATCACGGCCCTTTCTAAGGAAGGATATTCATATAGCATGATTGTTAAATGATATATAGCCAAATGACACCACATTTCAAAAAAAGGGAGCTTCCACAGAAATGTAAAAACTGGCAGAGCATTTAGGGCAATAGACAGTTTCAAAATCACAAATCAAGCCGATCTGGAACAACAGATAGTTATGAATGAAAATGACTGTGATGGAGGGGAGATAGTTAACAAGAACCACCTGACCTAAAAAATCATTGTGATGGAGAGGAGCTAGTAAACAAGAACCACCTGACCCAAAAAAATCATTGTGATGGAGGGGAGCTAGTAAATAAGAACCACCTGACCTAAAAAATCATTGTGATGGAGGGGAGCTAGTAAACAAGAACCACCTGATCTAAAAAATCATTGTGATGGAGTGGAGCAGGTAAACGAGAGCCACCTGACCTAAAAGTGAAAGTCCCAATTCAGTCTTCCTAAAATAACACTAACTTAATTTAAGAAAATGCATCTCAAAAGAGACGTTAAATTTTTACAAGTCTAGTATTGTAAAGATTGGCATACACAAAGTAAATCCAATATATATTTCACTGTGATTATTCTTAGGTCCTGATATCGAGCATCTGAGATGTAAATAAAAAAATTTTACAACACGAAGAAAGATGATGCATCAACACTATCAATTCCCTCAACACTCCTAAACACCTCAATCAGATCCCCCTCTAACTCCTCTTTTTTCAAGAGAAAATAATTCCAGATGTATTAACCTATACTCGTATAATAACCTTTACATCCCAGGTTACATACCAGTAACCATCCTCTGAATCCTTTCCAACAATTGAATGTCCTTTCTAAGGTAAGGATTCCAAGACTAAACACAATACTCCAAATGCGGCCTAACCAATGATCAATACAATAACATTATAATTTCTTTAGACTTGTATTCAGTATTTCAGTAGATAGAACCTACAATCTTTTTTGCTCTTCACTAGCAACAGCAAATTGCTCGGGTGATTTAAGAAACTGATTAACCAGAACACCAAGATCGTTTTGTTTCCATAACACTGTTAAAATTATTCTCATCAAAATTATACTCATAATTCAAGTTGTGATAACCTAGGTGGATTATCTTGCATTTATAATAATTATAACCCATCTGCTATTTGCTCACCCAACTCACAAAATAATCTAAGTCCTGTAAAACAGCAGTATCCTTCTCATAGCTAGCAACATCCAAAACTTTAACATCATCAGAAAAGTTAAATAATTCATTGATCATTCCTTTATCTATGTCCCTGATGTAAACTAACAATAGTAAAGGTCCTAACATGGAGCCCTGAGGTACCCCCCTTGTGACTTTAATCCAGCTTGACTGAACTCCATATATAATAACCTTCTGCTTTCTTCCATCCAGACAGTTTTCTATCCAAGAAGCCAACCTATCCCCCACACCTACGGAGATAGCTATTTTAACAAGCCTTTAATGTAGTACCTTGTCAAATGATCTCTGAAAATCCAGATACATCAAATCCACACCCATACCCTCATCTACATAAGCAGTAACTTCTTCAAAGAATGTCCACACCCATACCCTCATCTACATAAGCAGTAACTTCTTCAAAAAATGTCCACACCCATACCCTCATCTACATAAGCAGCAACTTCTTCAAAAAATGTCCACACCCATACCCTCATCTACATAAGCAGTAACTTCTTCAAAGAATGTCCACACCCATACCCTCATCTACATAAGCAGTAACTTCTTCAAAGAAAGTCGAAATATCACTAATGCAAACATTTCAACTTGTAAAACCACACTGATTTTATAAAAAGATTTTAAGCTTTGTTAAATAACTTTTCAAAGTATCTTTTATCAGACTTTCAAAAACTTTTCAATGATGTAAGACTAACCCCGTGTTAAGTCCTTTATTAAAAAAAAACCTTTAATGAATTAGTTATAACTTTAGATGTATTATTACATAACCAATGAATTATGAAAATTCTCTGCTTTGGCACTCTGCATCTTCAATAATACAAGATGCTTAAATAACCTTTTGACTCATTAATTTCAAAGTTCTATGAATGAAGTATAGTTGAAACAAGCAATAATGTTTTCAACACGACATTTGTCACTCCCACCTTCAACAGATTTGTTTGAGATTTATAGCCTACATGTAAATGTTACATATACATGTGTATAGTCATTAGAAAGAGGTCATTTTGTATTATAATCTAACAACAGCTATTTTGAAATTGGTACAGAGTACATGTAACTGACTGTAGTATTGTTGACTGCTTGATCAACTATAGCACTTACAGTTGTTTCTTACCTAAATATGTTATAGTTAGAGATACAGTTTAAATTGTACTTAGGTCCTACTATTATATTTTAGTTAATTATGTATTAGTTATGGTTTAAAATATATAATTAAAAGATTTAAACATTATTTAAATATACATCATACTTTGCTTTACTCAAGGCTTACGATATTACATGCTGAATGACAATTTTGTCGAAGGGTTGTGCATGTCTCCCAAAGACACTATAATATGCCTCAAGGGTAACGTTGATAAATAATAGGTGGTAAAGGACAAGAAAGGAAAATAAAACATTAAAATTTACAACACTTGAAAAGGAAACGACCTAATATTATGAATATAACAAAAGGAAAATATTTTAAGATATTCTACAAAAAATTAATAGGTATGTATTTTTTTCTATTTCCTAATTTTAATTATTTCATTGCATTGTAGGTTCATGATAATAGCTAGAGAAAATGAAAAACAAAATATAAACATTTATCTTAAAAACTTTTGATATCTTTTTTTTAGGAGGTTCTAGAGATTATGCAAATAAAATGTGAAAACTATACGACAAAGAAAAATATTTTTATACTTAAAATAAAAATCATCTTGCACTGAATTGGTAATTATTTTGAATTAGTTTGTTTGTTTGTTTGGAATTAAGCACAAAGCTACACAATGGGCTATCTGTGCTCTGCCCACCATGAGTATAGAAACCGGTTTCTAGCATTGTAAGTCCGCAGACATACCGCTGTGCCACGTGGGGGGGGGGGGGGGGCTATTTTGAATTAGAGTAACTACAAAAGAAAATAACATTTTTAGGAAAACAATTATAATAATGTCATTCTTTGTGTACAAGATACTTACGATCTTTAACAAAATCTTATCAGTTTCTGAGAGGATACGTTAAGAAATCTCGGAGTTACTATACGTATTACCGTACAAGTGACATTCGCGACTCGATTTCTGCAAATTGCACGAGCCCACCGTGAAAGGGTTAATGTGATTCAGTGTGGTTTGTAAGTGGTCCTTTGCAAACTCATATAGCTGAGTTAACTAAACATCTCTTTTGACAGCATGGAGATGATTAGACTGTAAGTTAAGATACACGTTCGTGTGTGTTGGTTTCCTGTAAAATGTAGTAGGAAAGTGAAATACTTCTCCAAGTACAAGAACTACATTGTTTATTTGTCTATTTTAAACTACACAATAGGCTATTGAGCTCTGTCCACCATGGGGAAAGAACCCTGGATTTTAGTACTGTAAACCTGCTGCTAACCCAGTTGGGGATGAGAACAACTAAAAAGGGTAGAGTCTGTTTTCTTTCAATCGAAACTTTAAGTTCATGTTGTTGTGTATAGAGGAGAGTTGAGATAGTAAGTCTGTGACTGTTTTTTTAGCCATGTTGCCAGATTGTGAAGGTATTGCCAACATAATATCTACAGTATTTTTATAAGAGAAGGTGAAGTCAGGAATTTGAAGTTTTTAATGTCCTTTTTAGTGAAAGGCAGTGAGACTATCAAACCCATTGCTAAAACATCAGTCTGTTCAAAGCAAGAAACTTGAAAGTTATAATTTTCCTATTTATTTTGCATATAGAGGGTAGCACTGAATGAGAATAATGTTCCATGTTGGAATTGGAAATAGAAACTATTGTTGCAGTAAGTTATTAATTCCATAAGTGTGTTTGGTCAAAGATAAGAATGGATAGTGTTTTATCAAATTCTAGTTTGGTAACAAACGAATGGTCTGAAAATGGAATATTGGAAAACAGGTCATTCACGTAAAAACTAACAAGCAGATCACTTGAATCTATATGTATCTTCTTGAAAGAAATTAGAAATTCTTCAGAATTAGTAGCACAGCCGTTGACTTTTTATATTACTTGTGAAAAAAAGGGTAAAAAAATTTGGTGACATCCTTTTTGTTTTGCCTTGTGTCATACATAAAAATTAGATATGCACACAGTTTTTGGCAAGGATATTTGGAATGTTCTTTATTTGCTTTCAGACTAGATGAGTGCAGCACTTCGAACAATTGGTCATTGTTAAATAAAAGTAAAAACAATATCTCAGCAAATAGAAAAGATAGGAGGTTCTCATCTTATATTCTACCTTGTCAATATCGGTAACTTGGGTTCCTAATTCGTACAAAACTATAAAATTAGTATTTTGACATCACAAACATCTAATTTGAACAAGTGCTGCATTCGACGTACCACATGACACAAAAATTAATATTTAGATGTATTTTTTTAATATTTACTTTTAAATTAAGAAATTAAATAATATATAATATGAAAATTTGAATTATAATCTACAGTTTGATACCAAACTTAATGACATAAAGTCATAAAACAGCATTTCAATACAATTTTGTATGCGAGACAACAAATGCGATGACATAGCCTTTGGCTCATGTGGAAAGGATTACTATTTTTCCACAACCAAGATGACAGTACTTGCCACCTTCAACATGTGTGTCTGACTAATTAAATAATTAAAGTAACTCGTATTTCAGGGGAGAGAGAAAAAGAAGTTGGAACACTTCCTAAAGGCAAAGTTTAAACCCACTTTGTTTTATTTTTTCAAAAGTTAGGTTTTTTTTTCCTAATTTTTGATATTTTAAGAAATTTTTTAACAAGTTTAAAATGGATCTAATATGACTGATATGAAGGAATAAACTGAATTTGATCAATGTGTAAACGTAAATAATGATTTAAATTTCACAATATTTTTTATATGACTTTGACAAGGATATTCTTCATACTTGAACTTGCTTTATAAGGCAAATTACAAATAACATTGTGTTGTACTTACTGTTTCTTAGCCTAAGCAGAAGTAAGGAAAGGAATTACATACAATAGGTTTTCATGAACAAGTAAAGGTTCTAATTCTCATTACTTAAACTAGAAAAGGTTCTAATTCTCATTACTTAAACTAGAAAATACACATTCAAGACATACCTTACTTATGTACGGCAATGATAACAAAGTCCCCAGTACTGGAATTCTTCTCAAAAAGTTTACTACTACTGGAAAGAACCCACTAGCCAGAAAAAAGAAATATATATATATATATATAAAATCATGAGCATCTTCGAATGTTACTTTTTTTTATAAAGATTTTCTTTTGTCTACAAATATGTTATTTATCAATAACAATAAATAAACTTTGTAATATTATAATAATATTAACAAGGATACAGATAATACTATTACACAAGGATATAGAGAATACTAATTTCATTGAAAGAGGGTATAAATAATATTAACTTTATTACAGAAGTTCATAAATAACACTAATGTTATTGCACAAGGGAATAGATAACCCTAACTTTATTACACAAGGATATAAGTAACCCTAACTTTATTATACAAGGATATAGAGAAAACTAATTTCATTGAAAAAGGGTATAAATAATATTAACTTTATCACAGAAGAATATATATTATACAAATTTTATGTACACAAGGAAATAGATAACCCTAACTTTATTAAACAAGGATATAAGTAGCCCTAATTTTATTACACAAGGGAATACATAACCCTATCTTTATTAAACAAGGATATAACACTAATGTTATTGCACAAGGAAATAGATATCCCTAACTTTATTAAACAAGGATATAAATAACACTAATGTTATTGCACAAGGAAATATATAACCCTAACTTTATTACACAAAGATATAAATAACACTAATGTTATTGCACAAAGGAATAGACGATACCAATTTTACTACACAAGGGCATAGATAATTCTATTTTTATTACACAAGGGTATTATTACAGAGATAATACTAACTATTACAAAGGGTGTGAACAAAGATTTGTAATAATAAATCCTTGAACAGAGAAGGAAAATCTTGAGAGAGAAACAAGACTTGGCTAATTTTTTGCTGAAGGGATGATAGTTACGTAGCAAATAAAAACTATTCTTTGGGATAGGCAGAAATAAGTTCAAAAAAAAATCGATAAGTGCATTGTATATAGGCAAGACTCCTTAAAGCTCCACAGAAATGTTAGTTTCAACATTTTGAAATTTAGTTTTTTCAAATTATACAAAATAAATTGTTACAAAATGTTTATATACAAAACTCAAAATCTCTCTGTTTGTCCGCTGCATTCAATGCACAGGTCACACTTACCTTATATGAAGGTGCACAAAACGACAATTTTTCGTTGATATACGTGCCTATCATCTGCTAGCCAAACCGGTAATTTTAACATTAACATATACATTATACGAATAAATTCTACACAAAATTAATATTTTTTGGTAAGTTTATGTTAACATTTAATTTAAAACATAGCATTATAGGCCTATTTAATTATAGATCAGTAATTATACATCAACTAATACATCATATATTCAACCACACAAAAGAAATGTATGCAGAATTAGAATGTTCTGTGTAAAAAAGCAAACAGTAGGCCTAGCCTATATAATAAAATTATGCCATCTGTCATAAAATAGACTATATGAAACGAGTAAGGCTTACATTATTATACTTATTGTGTAAAATGAGATTAAAGTCAAGTTAGCAAGTGTATTTTATTCTACTTTTTTTTCTCTGGGTGGCTTGATACCTGGAAATGGATTTTTTTCTTTTGATACATTATAAAGTACATTTTGTTTGTAGTATATTTCATATATCAATGTTGTAATGTGAATGTGATATCACATTTATAAAAATATATTAAATTTACATTTAAGCTAATTCAACATAATATTACATACATATTTACGTTTGAAATTTTAATATTTGAGGAGGGGGGATGGGGGAAATAGAGCTAGGCTTATCCTTTTCGCCAAAACGAGAACTCATACGTGTATAACATAATCTAAGTATTCTTCATAAGGGCCTATTTATCCTTGCCAAATGAAGGAAAAACAAAAAAACATCATTCATAAGGAATCCCTGATTTAAAATAGGTTTATAGATTATTTTCAAAAATCAAACCTAAGGTTGTTTTTTTTTCATACATTCACAAAATATTTTTTATCTATCGAAATATGGAATGAGGAAACGGAGAAAGTAGTTTTTTTTAAAAAAAAACCTGGGTAATGCTGCTAGTTAATTATAAAATATTGTTACAAATCTGTGAAGCAGGATTAAAATTATTATTTTCACATAAATTTTGAAATCTGACATACAGGCATCAATTTGATAGGGTTAAGAAATCAAATCTTTCAAAATGAAATAAGAATAATATTAAGTACAAAGATGTCGTCTGAATGTTTTTATAATAAAATCAAATCCAAGAGCTACCAGGTATATATACTTTCTAATATATACAACTTGTACTTGGCTTCATTAAATTTAAAATGTTTAAATTTAATAAAAATGTTGTATATACATGCATGTACCTGAAAAGCATGATAAATCCATAAGTTTCTACTAATATTCCTGCAATAGGCCAACCAAATAAAACGAGAAAAATTCCACCGAAAAAGGCTGTAGTCCCTTTCAACTTATGCCGCTGAAAGAAAAACCAGAAGGTTCTTTCCAATCCTATAACAAAAGCCAGTCCAGATATGAATAATATCTGAAAAAAAAAAGAAAAATTTATCCAAACAGAAAATTTTTAGAATAAAGTCTATACAACCTAAACAGGTAAAATGTTGTCTAAAACGAATAATAATAATAATATTTTAAATCTGAACACAGAGAAACCAAAAATGTACTGTAGTATAATTTTTCTAATATTTGAAACTCATTTTCACATTTCAAAGTTCCTTATTAAAATCTATCATTATTATTGATAATATGTACAAAGGCTTTAATATAGTTAAGTAGCTTATTTAAAACGTTTCCATGTGTTCTTGTTCTTAATATTTTCCTATAAAAGGAAGTGCTGTTTAAACACATGGACAGGAAATAATTCATTGCTCTGAAAGTTCTTACATTATAATTTTTTTTTAGAATGTAAGCACGTATTAGATAAAATAAAGAAATGTGTAAAAACTTTGTTTTCATCTACGAGTAATTCACACTTTAATATTTAAAATCCACCTTTAAAAATTTGGCAAAGAAACAACAAGTCTTTTAAATGAACACTTTCCCAAAATTATAAAACAGTTTGAAAAATAATAGGTAGGTACAATGTATTGCACTTTTGAATTTAAATGTTAAAGTTTTGTAAAGAAAGCTTCTTATGGGGTTTTGAATTTTACAAACAAGCACCTTTTTTAAATTCCCCATTACTACTTCTATCTAGATTCAGTGAAAAATATTTCTAACATCATTAATGCTGTGAAGGGGGGGAAAAAAAAGACTGATTTGTAGTACCAACAACTGTTAAAAAATTCAAGCACACAGATATCGTACTAGTGTACCCAAATGTATTACTTAATCCTCTTCATGCCAAGTGACGTATAAGGCCTCACCTAAATGTCTAACAGCATGAAAACTACCGAATACAAAAATTGATATATATACAAACAACATGATGCATATATGGGCATCTTTTTTTTTTTATTTCTCACTTAAAACTTAAATTTGGAGAGAACAGTAAGCATACCTCAGTTAAATAACTTTCTGAACAAAGGTTATTTCACTTACATTTCCAATAGCCAGAAGTCCTTTATCAAAAATAAACAGCACACCCAGAAATATGAAAGCTACCCCAAAACCTGTTAGTCCAACACCAATTTCTGTGGAAGATAGCAAGAATAATGAAGATGAAATGTTTGCATGTTGTAAAGGAAGTATTTAGAAATGTAGCTTTTCATCTACATTTCTTTACAAATATTATTCTACTTAAAGCACTTAAAATCTTTTATGTATTTATGTAAAAAAACTAATAAAATCTATATATTTAACAGAGGCTGATAAATACTATTAATAGGTTAAAATCTCCAGTTTATATTCCTGTGAAAATTATTCAAAATCTGACCAGATTCACAATTATTTTTATATATAACTTGGTTTCTCTCCCCCACCACCACCAAACACTTTTACTGTACTTAACTTCATATTCTTTATGTTCTCTAAGTGAGAAAGTAAAACCAAAGCTAAATTGGTAATGATAGTTTTTTCTTTATTTAACTTCTTTGAAATTTAGGAAAAAACAACAAAATTTAAAACTGGTTTCATATGGTGAAATACTCAATCAAAAAAGTTTACAAGTAAATAAAGTTATTTCTGTTACCTCCTTAAAAAAAAAAAAGAAGAGAGAAATGGTGCATTTTCTTTCCTTATAAAAACTAATATGTAATCTCTCCCTATTTAACTTCAGTCTTCACCATCTCACCCAGAATTCAACATGGATGACAGATGTGATATAATTAACAGAAATGAAGAAATATTTTTTTTCACTTACGCTAAACACTGGTCTCACAGCAGCATAAACTTCTCACCTACTGTCTCTTACAAGTTACAGTGTTACACTTCACTACATTGGTAACATAATATCAAAAGAAGGAAAGAGATATTTTTGATTTACCTAGGCTGCTCTATTTACTAAATTAAACCCTTAGGGTAAAAAAAGCCTCAAAGCCAGCCCTTATCAATCAGATATTTATCAAGCTTTCCCATATACTCCCTCAAGTTAATTTCATCTACCACATCTGAAGGCAACCATTCCAGAGAGCAAAAGATGGCTCCCACCATTCCAATATTTATACTTGTCCCCCTTGTCTCACCATTAAATATGAAAAAAAGATGATACATCAACGCCATCAATTCCTTTAACAATCTTAAACACCTCAATCAGATCTCCTCTAACTTCTTTTTTCATGAGAAACCAAGTTCAGAGATCTTAACTTATCCTCGTATGACAACCTTTCCATCCTGGGTAGCCCTCTTCTAAGCTCTTTCCAACAATTCAATTCCATTTCTAAGGAAAGGAGCCCAAGACTGAACACACTACTCCAAATGTAGCCTACCCAATGACATTATAACTTCTTTACACTTGTTATTCAATATCTCTGTAAATACAATCTAAAATCCCATTTGCCTTGCCACTAGTAAACAGCTTATTGCCTGGATAGATTAAGATACTGATGAACCAGAAGATTGTTACAGTTATTCTCATCAAAACTGTACTCATAATTCAAATTATGCTATCCAATATGCATTACTTTGCATTTATTATAATTAAAAGTCATCTGCCATTTATTCACCCAACTCAACAAATAATCCAAATCCTTTTGTACAGCACAAGCATCCTCCTCTCAACCAACAACACCCAAAACTTTAAATAACTTATTAATAATTCTATCATCTACATCACTGATGTACATAAAAAACAGGTCCTAATACTGAGCCCTGAAGATACCCCACTCATGTAATTAATCCAGTTTGACATTAATTCATTTATAACAACCTTCTAATTTCTTCAATCTAGCCCATTTTCTATCCAATTAGGCAACCTATCCCCCACACCTAGAGATGAACAAGCCTTTCTGGTGGCAACTTGTCAAATCAACCAGATACATAAAATCCACACCCATACCCACATTTACATAAATAGTAACCTCTTCAAAGAATGTCAAAAGATTAGTAAGGCAAGATGTTTGCCTAGTGAAATTATGCTGACTTTATAAAAAAAAATTCAAACTTTGTTGCCTTTAATGACTTTTCAAAGCATCTTTTATCGGACTTTCAAAAACTTTTCAATGATGTAAGACTAACAGGCCTACAATTACTGAGATAATTTTTATCATCTCCCTTGAAACGAGGAGTAACATCAGCCAACTTCCAATCTTCTGGCACCCGCCCACTACTTAAGGACTTAGAAAAAATAGGAGCAAGTGGTTCACTTATCCAAGCCTTAACATCTTTCAAAACCTTCCTTGGATAATCACTATCTGGTACAGGAGTCGTATCATTCCTTAAACTTCTACATTTTTTCTTAACAAGCTCAGAATTAATGTGATCATCTTGTTTAATCATATTTTAATGTAGCAACAGTTCAGTATGAGGAATATTGCTTAAATCTTCAATAATAAAAGCTGAAGAAAAAGTTGAATTTAATAACCCAAGCATCACATAATCATCAGATATTAGCCTTCCTGTATCATACCTCAAGGGTCCTACTCCAATCCTAAGTTTTTGCTTACCCTTAATGTATCTAAAGAAATCCTTACTATTAATTTTTACATTTTCAACCAACTTTTTTCATATACTTTTTTTTTCTAATTTCCCATTTCATCAACTCTCTTTATCTTCTATAATCCTCCAAATCTCCCATCATTGCAGTCAATTTAAACTTCTTACATTTATAATGCTTTTTTTTTAAATTTTAGTTTTTGAGAGCCAACCTAGCTTTTTTTACTTGCAGCCACACTTCTATGTCCATGAGGAATACACTTTTCTGTAATACTTAGAAAACTATTTGTAAAATTTTTCCAAATTTAATCAGTATCTCCAAATACTTCAGTTGCCCAACTGACAGCATATAATTCTTGTCAATCCTTCTAAACTTTTCTTTTTTAATTTGGAACCCAGATATTCCCCAATCTTTGTCCTATCAACCATTTCTTTATTAGAAGTTAACAATAAGTCCAAAATAACATTGTTCCTAGTAGGTTTTCTAACCAATTGTTAGAGAAAACCATCCTGAACAGTTTCTAAAAACCCGTTTCCCTCAAGATTTGACTCATAAGAGTCTAATATTTCCCAATTTATATGCCTGAAAATGAAATTAAAATCTCCTTTAATTATAACCTCATCAACAGTTGAATTCTTTACCTCCCTGTAGTCTCTCATTAATTTCATCAGTATCATCTTGTGGTCTGCAAGTTGTAACAAACCCCGATTAAAACTAGAAAAGCCTTCTCCTCTTATATTATAAACATTAACACAAATCCAAATACATTAAATTTAATTACCGAGTATTAGCTTTGATATCCTCAACTTGAATACTCAGTAACGGCTGTAATTAGAAGAGTAACTCTTGGGTACGACTTTTTTACTAACTTCGTACCTATAATTTAGCTTAAATTTTAATATCCTGTGTAAAATCAACTGCACATTAATATTACAAACTGAACATCATAACAAATTAAAATTGTACTTTTGTAGTAAAAAAACCTAGGTATATACTAACTGTAAGTTACAGTGTAACTTGTAAGAGTAAAATTAGGAGACTCTTAAGATTCGAGAGCACCTTACTTTGAAAATCTGTTATTTCGAACATACTATTATATAAAATTCAAATTTTCTTTCATGAAAACTTTAACTATGAATAACTTATAACAGTATCAGCTCAGTTGAAATCATGCTGTAAGTCGCAGTAGACGTTATTTTCATAAACACTTCTCCACGTCACCTTCGTTTACTAGGCTGACATGTTTACAACCGTTGCGCCATCTAAATAATCAACTTTTATACCTTATAAATATTTTTTACATCATTTTTCAAGTCATTTTTTGAAATATATTATTTGGGATTTAAAAGTAAAATAGTGTAACATTTTCCAGCAAAAAAAGTAGCTTGAAAATTTTAGAAGTGGTTAAGTTGTGCAGTGACGTTAATGTTACTGTTTGTTCAGGATAAACTGCCTTATGTATGTTTTATTTAGTATGTTATTGCATAACCTACAAAATATCAAATCACGCACAAACGAACATTTATTCTTGGCATACTTTATTAACATGTTCTATCACTGGGTATGTTTATTAGATTATTTGGTGAAAATAATGCGAAGTCCAAACCATTTGACATAAAGAATTAGTTTATTTTTCCTTATAACGTTTCTACAGGATACGTTTCCGTTAACAAACGTTGTATACCTAAGTTCAAAAACTTAAATTTTTCAACATAAACTTCGCAAATATATGTAGGCGTGACTTCATATACAATGTTTTAATGCAAAATGAGTTACGTACGCTTAACTTAACTTTGTTCGGTAACCAAACACGTAACACACCGAGTAACGAAATAGAAGAATTAATATGATAAGTATTGCCGAATAACTTCCTGAACAAACTGAATTCAGTACTTCACTAATTCTCATATTCATTACTAATATACCCATCTAGATCTTTGTCTAATTTACTTGATCATAACCTCTAACAAACATATCATATAAAACAATGAAAATATAGCTTTTAACAGTATTGTTACGACAGCGGGGGTCACGTGATTCTAGTAACACGTCGTATTCTCGAACGTTCACGTCCTTTCCTGAAGCCTCGAGAGGTTACTAGATATGCGATATTCTTGTATATACAAGACCGGTAAGAAGTGACGGCAACAATGTAATGTAATTGAACTGCAGACAGAGATAGAGACTACTGTTGAGTCGAGCACGTGAGTCGTTCGTTGTGAATTATAGTGAATTAAAGAAACAAGAAGAGAGATTACAACAGCTATTGGAGGAGAAAGAAAAGAAACAAGAAGAGAGACTACAGCAGTGGTTGGAGGAGAAAGAAAATGAACAAAAAGAGAGACTACAACAGTGGATGGAAGAGAAAGAAAATAAACAGGAAGAAAGTCTCCAACAGTTACAGGAAAGTCAACAACAGTGGCAAGAAGTACAAATGGAAAACATTAGTAAATTTAAAAGTGAATTAGATACATTAAAGGATGATTTATTGTCTTTTACACAAGGAGGATACATTAACCATCGACTTAATCAGCCCCAGACAATGGCAAACTCCTTCCAGACCCCGCAGCTAAACCCTAATGCAGACATCTTCAGTCCTG